GATATAGTTCTCTTCACATAAGGAGACCTCTTCTCCTTATTCCATATGCAATCTTTTCAATCAGTTCAGAAGATATTGTTGCTCGATCTCAAAAGGCTTATCTTCTTCACGTGCATCTCATGTGCATAGGCCATAACACCTGTGTCTCCTAAGATGGACATGGTCCTTCACTGAGTTCATTTGTCATTCTTCAAAACTTCAACTGAGCTTGGACCAACATCCTCTCATTTCTTTTGAGAGGTTTGTTTGCACATTTTTAGAAAGAGGGAGAGGGAGATAGAGAGAGCCCCCTGTAGGAAAGTGCTCCCCTCCTCTTTATAAGGGGGTATATCCATAGAAATTCCTACAAAAAGGCACAATTAGAGGGAATATTCGGTAGAATATCCATTTTGAGGATCCCAAAGTAGACTAGTTATTTCATCACGACCTCGGCCTGTCCAACCTCAGCTTGATGACGGTTCGACTTCGGACTATAGAAGAAGAAATTATATTAAAATATTATATGATTGTTTTAAAACTTCGGCATAGTTGCTGAAGTTTCTTTATTAATAATTAAAAGCTGAAGTTTCCTCGTACACTGGGTAAAAAATAAAATATAAATTAAAATTTCATATTGCACAAAAAAACCTCAACATAGATGCTGAAGTTTTTTAGTTACTATTTAAAAACTTCAGCAGGAGGAGCTGAAGTTTTCCTCATATATTGGGTAAAAAAGGAAAATAAACATAAATTAGAATTTCATATTGCACTAAAAACCTTCGACATAGGTGCTGAAGTTTTTTAGTTATTATTTAAAAATTTCAGCAGAAGGAGCTGAAGTTTTCCTCCTACACTGGATAATTTAAAAGTTCATATTGCGCCAAAAAACTTTAGCATATGTGCTGAAGTTTTTTAGTTAATATTTAAAAACTTAAGCATGTGGAGCTGAAGTTTTGCTCCTACACCGGGTAAGAACTAAATAATAAATTAAAAATTCATATTGCACAAAAAAACTTCGGCATAGGTGCTGAAGTTTTTTAGTTATTATTTAAAAACTTCAGCAGGAGCAACGGAAGTTGTTCTCCTACATTGGGTAAAAATATAAAAAATAAATTAAAAATTCATATTGCGCATAAAACTTAAGCACTAGTGCTGAAGTTTTTTAGGTAATCTGTAAAAACTTCGGCTAATGGAGCTAAAGTTTGAATAGAATTAATATTAAAAAAAAAGCAAAAAAAAAACCTAAAACAGAAACTGAATATTTCATTAAAACATTAAAAAATATAAATCAAATTACATAAATAACAAAAAGAAAAAAATTAATCGTCCATATCATCATCATCATCATCATCATCATCATCATCACTACTAGATGGACTAGCATCTTCATCAGCGAGATTATCAAATCGTGCATACAAGCATATCAAGCTCGTTGTTAATTTCTTCCAGCTCCCTGTCATATTTGTCTATGAGCTCATCCAGTATAAGCTCAAAAGCCTCTATAATATCTTGCTTGATTTCTTCCAACATTTGCTTGATGACAACATTCATTTTTCTCCTTTTTGTATTTTATGTCTGCTAAAATATATGTGTTTGAGTGAATAAACTCACAAGGAATAGCGTGCTTATATAGGGGGAAAAAACTTTTGCATGGTATATGAAAAGGCATAGAGGAATTTTAAAGGCTGTCTAATAAAAAGTGTGTCATGAATGTGACAGGAATGTAATTATTACGCTAGCACATATCCCCAAACGCAATATAATTACTACTTTAATAGTATAGGTTACTCCTATATACTATGCAATTAATGCTGAAACATGCCCAAATTTGTTGAATTCATTTTCTAAAACTTCAGCTCAATGTGCTGAAGTTTTTTAGTTCATTTCTAAAATCATCATCACTTAATGAGCTGAAGTTTTTTTCGTTTATTGATGAATCCTCGTCATATAAAAAACTTCAGCTGATATGCTGAAGTTATTAAGCTTATGTCTAAAATCTTCAGCACTTAATAAGCTGAAGTTTTCTGTACAGGATTTATTAATTATGTCATACATCTTTTTCCAAAAAAACTTCAGCAGAAGATGCCTAAGTGATTTATTTCTTTTGTAAAAACTTCAGCACAAACAACCTAAAAATTCTTCTATTCACTTTCCTAATACTTGCCACTAAACACGAATCTGCAGGATGAGTTCGATTTGCGTTGTTATAACTTTCAATGGGAGTTGGACTCCTAATTTCAAATACTTGGATCATGATACAAAACTTATTCTACTTAATAAGGACATATCATTCAATACTTTCCTGAAGAAAATTAGTGAAGTTGCAAATACTAATTCAACCAGATATGCACTAAAATATCAAACTAAATACAAGCAAAATACTTGTAACTTCAGATGAAGAACTCAGTACGTGTATACATTTTCTTACAACTGATTCAGCCTACAAGAATTACCATTTCGTCATCGAAAAAATACAACCTTCAGAATCTGCATCATTCAACAAATCTCTTGCATATGTCATAGATTCAGAATCGTTTGCTAACTATCAACATGAAGTACGACAACCAATAATGGAAGTAGACAATGCGCAACAACCTTCTAACATTACAGATGCTTCAGAATATATAGTGCTGCGACAATTACTCCCTTCTCCAATAAATTCATACCAATTTGTCGATGCCCAGAAAAAGAAGGATAGCCAATAATGCAAATTGATAACCAACACATAATCCAACAAAGCTTTTTGTTACCTTCTGCAATGATAAGCAACAATAAAGATGAAGTAAACATGGAGCTTATACCAATAACATTAGATAAAATTGAAGAAATTGCTGAAAATTCGTGTGCTTCTCAGAAATCAAGAAAAAGAGTGGGAGAAAGGTGAAAGAATCTCTGTTGGAACATATATGTATGTTCATATTTATATGTTTTGATAATTGACAAACCAATTTAAATGGAAAATAATATATGCCAAATATATGTGAGTTATTATTGAATACACTTTAATTTATATTTAACTAAAGTGTATTTATTTTGTAGATATGCAAAAGCATACAAGGGGGAAGGTATGCAAAGTTGATATGCGCAAAGGGGAAGATTTGCTTTGCGACATTATATGAGCGGACAAGAATTGGAGTCCAAGAAGTTCAAGACAAGATCAAGAGAAGATATGAAGCAATGAAGATAATTGAAGACTTTTGTTGAGTCTTATTTTTATTGTTTCTATTGTGATCTTGATCCGACTTTAAGTTTGAGTCTTGGCTTCTCTCATAAATCATTTTACAATGCATATCATAAAATGATTTTAAATATATGCATATCATATTTGGTTTTACTATATATGCATATTACAAATGATTTTACAATATATGCATACAAATGATTTTATGCATATCATAATTGATTTTACAATATATGCATACAAATGATTTTATGCATATCATAATTGATTTTACAATATATGCATATCTTAAATTATTTTACAATATATGCATATCACAATTGGTATCACAATTAACTTTTCAATATATGCATAAATATTTTATTGCATATCATAAATATTTTTATTGCATTTAAAACAAGTTGGTTTTAAATGTTATATAATAAATATTTTCAATACATTTAATTCAAAATGATTTTAAATGTTTTTATTAATCCGGAATGGTCATTACAATTGTTTTTCATGTTTAAGATATTTATAATACTTAAACAAAGCTTTGAAAAATATTTTATAACTTATTTTTAATAAGTTAGTTGTTTTTGAAACGGACCATTTCCGCAAGGCATGATATTCGAATATCTGATTTCAGATAGTCGACTATCCCAGTGACCGTTGCCAAGATAGTCGAATATCTATATCAGATAGTCGACTATCCTGATAGCCGTTGCCTGGATAGTCGAATATCTACTTTTGATAGTCGACTATCAACGGCTAGTTTTTCAAATTGATATTCGACTATCACTAAGATATTCGAATATCTAACAGATTTTCAGAATCTGTCTTTTTGCTTTAAGCAACGGTTGGGAGAGCTTTTGGGGCTATAAATACACCCCAAAATCTCTCATTTAACCCAACACAATCTGCCATAACATTCATAAGCTTTCAACTCTTTCCAATATCATTTATTGATCATATTTATTATATTTTGAAAGCCAAGGTCTTAAATTTATTGTTGTGTTCTTGAGCGTACTTGTTTACTCATTATCCACTCTATTAAGAGAGTATTTGTTTAAGTGAGTAGTAAGTGTTTGCATACACTTGTTGCAAGAAGAAAGGGTATATTTCTTCTTGAGAAGTCTTGGAGTGAGGTGTCCTCGAGCAGGGTTTCTTGAGGCTTATGTGATTTAAGTTCTCAAGTGTAAAGCTTTGTTAGGTACCCGGAAACTTAACAGAAGTCTTGAGGTGCGGTATCCTTGAGCAGTGTAACGGTTTGTTAAGCACCCGCAAGCTTAAAGGAATAGTAGAACCTTGAGTTGTTTCTCAAGAGACTGGACTTAGCCACAGGTTGTGGTGAACCAGTATACGTTTTGGTGCACTCTCTCCTTACTCTTTAATTTCCGCATTTGATTTATAATTTCCTGTGATTTTTTATAATACGCTATTCACCCCCCCTCTAGCGTTAAGCACGTATTCTAACAATCTCCACCATGAAAATACTTAGGCACGATGCATTGCCCAAGGAAATAAGAGTTGAATCAATCTTTGAGAACAAACAAAACATGACTACATTTTTCTACAGCTTGGAGATAGACCAAAAAGTTGAATTCACTACTGCTAGATCATGTTCCAAGAGATACAAGCTGAAATGCATCGTGGACAAATGTGGTTGGAATATACGTGCTACCAGATAAAAAATTCCATACTGTTCAGGGTGATAAAATATCATAACATCCATGAATGCTCGGTTGATGCAAGAAAATCAGATCAGAAGCATGCTACATCAAATTTTATAAGTGAACAAATTATAGAACATGTTTGAGACAAAAAGATAAAGGTTACACCAACATTTGTAGAAAATCTAATGAAAAAGAAATTTGAAATTGACAATAGTTATCACAAGGCATGGCGTGCTATTCAAAAAGTTGTTGCTTCGATAAGGGGAACATCTGAAGAGAACTACCAGATTCTTCCTTCATACCTACACATGATGGTGGCCAAAAACCAAGGAACGTACACAAGCATAAAAACAGATGCGCAGAATAGGTAAGCAAAACAATACTAACCATCAGCTTGAAGTTTCAAATATTACTATTTGAAAAACTTAACACATTATGATTTATTTTTTTGTGTTTCAATGTACATATTTTCTTATATGTTCTTTTCTCTTGCGGTATCAATAGTTGTTTGGTGCTACTGTAGACCCGTTATTGCAGTAGATACAACGTTTTTGAAGTCGAAATATCACGGTGTTCTATTTGTTATTCTATCAAAGGATGCAAACAATCAAATCTTTCCTCTATGTTTTGGTGTAGCAGATTCAGAAAACAATGAGGCATATATTTGGTTCTTCGGGGAAATAAGAAAATCAATTCAAGTCCGTCGTGAACTGGTTTTCTTGCCAGATAGAAACCAATCGATAGCAAATGGGATTACAAAAGTTTTTCCTGAAGCTCACCATGGTATCTACCTCTATCACATTGAGAAAAATTTAAAGCAAAGACATACAAAGGCCACAGTAATAAATCTTTTTCAAAGTATTGCAAGGTCATACAAACATGAAGATTTAAATCAGTTAATGTCCCAACTCAAAAGTATTAACAAGAAAACAGATAAGTACATTATGAAAGAGCCTCCCGAGAGATGGGCTCGATCGTGGTTCCCACGGCGACGTTATGATATGCTAACAACAAACATGGTAGAATCAATGAATTCTGATTTACTAAAAGGGAGATAAATGCCTATTTTGAGAATGTTAGATTTCATCCAAGAAAAGTTGGGAGAGTGGTTTTACAAACGGAGAAAAAAAGCAAATGAAACTTTTCACAGAGTATCAATATGGGCAGATGTCACGACCCTAGTTCACCATCTGTGAACACGTCATGATGGCACCCAGTCTTCGAGGACTAGGTAAGCCTAACCGTTCAGAAATAACAACATTTACGATGGTAATAACTTAAGAACTAATTAACTTAAAGAAATGTATATAATCTATCGCTTAGCACATACACTTCACACCACAATTTTATAACGAAATCCCAAAACCCGGAATCTCACGGGCAACACAGGCTATAGAAAGTATATAATACGGCTCTAACTCCGGAAATGTCTACATCAATGAAAACGGGAACAAACTAGCTAACTACAGGATGGAATAGGAAGGAAACTCTTCGGTCTGCGGACGCTGCAGATATACCTCGAGTCTCCGCTAGGTCTCTCCGCCTCGCTGATAGTGCGCCTGAGAGGAGGTACCTTGATCTGCACATGGAAAACATGCGCAGAAGAGGCATGAGTACACCGCAGCGGTACTTAGTAAGTGCCAAGCGAACCTCGATTGGGTAGTGACAAGGATGGTCAAGGCCCTACTGAGATAAATATAATATATGATGAGATAAAGAAATACAGTACAAGTAAAATCTACAACGAGAATCTAAACAGGATAAATAAGGGAAACAACAATAGGAAGACAAAAAGAAACAATACAAGGAACACTACTCACAACAGGAAATAATAACCGGGGGGATCTCTTGGTATCCTTATCATATCCGCTAGGGATCTCTTGGTATCCCGAGGATCTCTTGGTATCCTCATTATTTCACTAGGGATCTCTTGGTATCCCGAGGATCTCTTGGTATCCTCATTATTTCACTAGGGATCTCTTGGTATCCCGAGGATCTCTGGGTATCCTCATTATATTCACTAGGGATCTCTTGGTATCCCGAGGATCTCTTATTATCCTCATTATTCCACTAGGGATCTCTTGGTATCCCGAGGATCTCTTGGTATCCTCATTATTTCACTAGGGATCTCTTGGTATCCTCATTATTTCACTAGGGATCTCTTGGTATCCCGAGGATCTCTTGGTATCCTCATATCTTACAATCTCATGTGCCAGGGATCTTTTGGTATCCCGCACCCTCAGTGCAGAACATATCAAGTGCAGGGGGATCTCCCGGGAGGCCAACCCGTAGTCCCAAAGTAAATATGCAGGGGGATCTCCCGGGAGGCCAACCCGTAGTCCCAAAGTAAATATGCAGGGGGATCTCCAGGGAATCAAACCTGTAGTCCCAAAGTAAATATGCAGGGGGATCTCTCGGGAATCAAACCCGTAGTCCCAAAGTAAATACCAATCGTTTTGAAGAAGAAATATTGCTTAGAAAATTGCCTATTAGGTTTTGGGTTTTTGAAACGTGAGAAATAACTGAAAAATCCCGAATATATATACTCTCTGAACCTCCAGTGCGGACCGCGCGAGGGTGAACGCGGGCGCGCTGGTGTAGCTGAAAGTTGCAGGTCTTCTGAGGTCGGCAGCGCGGGCCGCGCGAACGTGACCACGACCGCGTGGCTCATACCGCGGACCGCACAAAAATGGACGCGGCCGCGCGAGAGAAGAAGAAGGTTGCAGGTCCTCTGAAGCATGCAGCGTGGATCGTGCGAGGGTGACCGCGGTCCGTGCGATCGTGACCGCGGCCGCGCTGGAACCTGCAGCTCATACCCAACCTGCAACATCTGGTGTTTTAAGTCTAAGACACTCCTGGAACCTACTCGAAACTCACCTGAGCCCTCGGGGCTCCAAACCAAACATACACACCACTTCAGAAACATCTTACGAACTTTTCTGTGCGATCAAATCGCCAAATAACATCATATACATCGGATCGAGCCTCAAAAACTCATGATTTTCTTCCAAATTTTCATAAGACATAAAATTCCCATTTTGGGTCCGAAATACGTCAAACGACGTCCGTTTCCAACCAAACTTTACAGAAAGTGCTCCAATTATATATAAGATTGGTACCAAGCACCGGAACCAAAATATAGGCCCAATACCCCAGTCTTCCAAATCAATTTCAATTCCATTTTCTTTAATAAATTCCAGAAAAAAATTTCACATAAAAATTCATTTCTCGGACTTGGGACCTTGGAATCCGATTCCAGGCATACGCTCTAGTCCCATATTTTCCTACGGACCCTCTGGGACCACCAGATCACGGGTTCGGGTCTGTTTACCCAAAATATTGACCAGAGTCAACTTTTAATCATATTAGTATCAAAATTCATTATTTTTCATACAGAATTTATATTTAAGCTTTCCGGCTATGCGTCGAGATTGTACACGCAAATTGAGGCTACTCGAGAGGAGGTTTTCAAGGCCTCGAAAGTACAGAACAGAGAATAAATAAGTGATGACCCCATCGGGTCGTCACATCAGAAGAATAGATGATTAAGAAGATAGACTTGGCTTGCAAAATATTTGTGAGTATATTTATTAACTTCAGCTATTTATATTTGTTGCACTGATTTACTGCTTACCTTTAAAAAATTTCATACTTTTTCTTTTTGAAGCAAAAATACACTAATATAGTTTGTCTTAATTTTTTATTCCTTGTTAGGTGTTCAACCTTGACTCAATGTTGTTTAGAATAAATAGTGAAGGAATTGAATTCATTGTGGACTTAAAGAAGAGAACTTGTGACTGCCTGAAATTCCAACTTGATGAATTGTCCTATCCACATGCAACTCCTGCTATTAATAAGAGATATTTGCAGAAATCTGATTACAACTCAAATTGGTATTCAAGGGAGACATGGTTGAAAACATATGAATACCGTGGGAGATCAAAAATCATGGAGTATACAATCTAAGATCACAAAACCTTCCGATGTAGAGATTTTACAAGGAAGAAGCCAAAAGAAGAGGCATATAGTTGCGACTGAATCAACAGTACTATTCAAGTCTACCAAATGTAGTCGATGTAAACAAGTTGGACATAACAGAACAACTTGCTTGTCTTCTCCAGCACCTCATCTATATTCGCAGATACACACTGAAAAATACTCCAACCTTCAATAATCGTTGGTCTGAACTTACACTTTCTTTATTGTATGACATAATTGAAATGTGATTTTTTTTCATAGCAATAAAAACAAATAAGCTCTTCGACTACTTACAGGTTTGGTTGCATTTTAAAAAAGTACACAATGACTTCTGCGAGAAAAAACTTCAGGTTATAGTATGTGAAATATATATCCTTAAACAAACAAACACACATACACATATGCACACTCACACACATGCGCGCTTACAGCACACAAAAATAAACGCATGTACAAACAAAAGTTGCATCATTTCTAAGCTGAAGTTATAGATAAAGAGCTTAATAAAAACTAAGTATCATATTGCAACTAAGAAGTATAAAGCAAATACCAAAAAATAATAAGGATAATGCAATAGAAAGCTAAAAACAAAGAGGATGACAATTACATTGATATAAAAAGAGATGAGAAAAACACACAAATTATAAACAAAACTTCAGCTCTTTGGGCTGGTTATACAAAATGAACCTAAAAAACTTCAGCTCTATAGGCTGAAGTTAACAAAAAAGCATAGCATTAAAACATTAAAAAAGGTATTACAAACACTAACAATCATCATCACCACCACCACTATCATCATCATCATCATCATCATCATCACAACACTCCTCAATTTTTCTAAATATCTCATCATCATCACTGTTGGAGATAACTATAGGGTAGTCGGGCATAAGACCAATTAATCCAAGAAGATCAATCTTCAACTTGTTGAATTCATCACACAGCTGACTTTGTTCGACGATTACTCTGTCCATAAGCGGAATAAGAGTCTTCAGGTTGTTTTGCAGCTTGGAATAGTCGGTCCAGCTGGGAAACTCAAAACTATCAAACTACTGCACAACCTTGTCGAATGAGGTTGAATAATCTCCACAACTACGTTCCAGGTTAAGCGTATTCTAGAATGATTCATTGGCACAGAGCTTTGGTCTGATTCTCTCCCAATCAGCCTTTATCTCATTCTACAAAAGCATAAGATTAGCTATCGGTTTGTTCTTGTACCACTCACATTTAAAACTCTTCCACTTCTTCATAATTTCATCCATAATAGGCTTACTTCCGCTTGCAACCAGACATTTTTTCTTTAACAAAATCTGAAAAACTAAAGATGAATATAAATTTAAAGAAATATGATAGAAGTTTATTAATGACTATGAAATTTTCAAGTGAAAAGATTGTTAATACAGACAAAGAGTTCACCTAATCAATTTAATATCTATAAATGTAAAAGTAACTTTTCAGCTGTTTTTACTATTTTACGTTTGGAGAAATTAAATGCAACAAGATAAGTAGGTAGTAAAAACAAGTATGTGATAAATGCAAAAGAAATGTAACTTCAGCCCTAATAAAGACCACAGTTTTTCTATAGTAAAAAAATAACTTCAGCACAAAAATAACAAAAGACAAAAAGTAGATAGTAAATACAAAAAAGATAAGTATCAAGTTAAAAAAATACCAAAACATGTTGAAGTTTTTGTCTTAAAGCTTTTTCAAAAAACTTCGGCCCAATGTGCTGAAGTTTTTTGTGTTCAATTCAATAGTTTTTTTCATACAACTTTTTCAAAAAACTTCGGCCCAATATGCTGAAAGTTTTTATTATATTTTCAAAAACTTCAGCACATGATAAGCTGAAGTTTTTATGTTGGATTTAATAGTTTTTGTCTTAAAGTTTTTTCAAAAAACTTCGGCCCAATGTGTTGAAGTTATTTAGTACATTTCTAAAACATTCAGCACTGGATAAGCTGAAGTTTTTGTCCTGGACTCTATAGTTTTTGTCGTAAAGAATTTTCAAATAACTTACGCAGAAACTGCTGAAGTTATTTCGTATATTTAGTGATAAGCTAAAGTTTTTGTCCTACATTTG